AACAAAGACTTAGTAACAGGCTGGGCTCTCCAAACCTCCGGGGTGCTTTGCAGGAAAACATTGGCAATGAGAGGCTGGAGGGAGCTGCTAGTGGGAGCTCCCACTAAGGATGGACCAGAGAAGTGAAGGAGCCTGAGATGGAACCAGAGGGACTGCGTGGAGGAGAGATGGAAAATGAAATATCCAGACAAAGGAAGGAGGTTGCAATGTAAGATCAGGCTTGGCAATGTAAGAAAGGGAAGAGACAAAAGCAGTCTCCCTGCAAAACGCTGGAATTTAACTTTCCCAGCTGCAGAGAGAAAACAATGACTTCCCACACAAAACTAGTTGATGGGCTGTGCTGATGAGGAGATGTCTGAGGAATTTCAATTAAAAGCCAGCGACACTGACAAAGGCGATGGGATTGAAGTGTTGGGAGGTAAGTGAGCGATGGGGAGGGAAGAACAATAACTGGTGAGGGAGGGAACGGTGCCTGCTCAGCGCTGCGTGGGCTGGGCCCTTCCCAAGGTGGCAGAGCTGTTGCCCACTGCGCCTGGCAGGGTGCTGGGGTCCAGCTCCAGCCCGTGTCCTGTGCCCTGTGCACCCTTCCCTGCCTCCCTGGCTCTGCTCTGTGGGGTGCTGCTGGCTGCAGCAGAGCTGTCCCCTCTGTCTGACATCTCTGATGGGTGTCTGCTCATCTGCAACATGAAATCAAGCTCTCTGTATTCTTGAGTCAGCCCTGTGAGCTTGGTGTCACCTTTGTCCCCAGCTGCCCTCCTGTACCTCCCATCCAGGTGATGCCCACTGCCCTCAGGCACTTCCTCTTCAGCCACTCTGGAGCCAGAGCTGTGTGTGCCCTTGGCAAAGGACCTGGAGCTGAACAGAGTGGGAAGAGCTGGCAGTTACATGTGATTAGGGGAGTCACAGAATTGTTCGGGTTGGAAAAGCCCTCTAAGATCATCAAGTCCAACCATTCCCCCAGCACTGCCAAGGCCACCGCTAACCCATGTCCCCAAGTGCCACATCCACAGGGCTTTTAAATCCCTCCAGGGTTGGGGACTCCACCTCTGCCCTGGGCAGCTGTGCCAGGGCTGGACAGTCCTTTCTGTGAAGGAATTTTCCCAATATCCAACCTCAACCTCCCGTGGCACAAAACCTGAGACCGTTTCCTCTCATCCTGTCCCTTGTTCCCTGGGAGCAGAGCCCGACCCCTCCCAGCTCCCCCCTCCTGTCAGGGAGTTGCAGAGCCAGAAGGTCCCCCCTGAGCCTCCTTTTCTCCAGGCTGAGCCCCCCCAGCTCCCTCAGCTGCTCCTGGTGCTCCAGCCCCTTCCCAGCTCCCTTCCCTTCCCTGGACATGCTACCACCCCTCAATATCTTTCTTTTTGTGAGGGGCCCAAAACTGACCCCAGGATTCAAGATTAAGCCTCACCAGCGCCCAGCACAGGGGCACAGAGAAGCCCCCTGACCTTTGGCTGGTGGCACTGCAGTAGGTGACAGCAGAGGCACAACGAGGAGCACATGGGAAGAGCCTGCACCATCTTTCTTGCAGCCACCAGGAAAGGAAGATGAATATCTTCCAAGCTGGCGCAGCTGACATCGTGTCTGATGGGAATAGCTCGTCCTTGCCTGCTGGAGAGACAGCTCTGCTCCGTCTGAGCTGGCACCAGGAGCTGGGACCAGGAGGAGAGCAGGCTCGGCAGGCTCTGGGCTGCCAGGAGAGGAATGGCTCCATCCTGACCAGGAGCAGGGGATGGAGCAGCTGAGGGAGCACGGGGGCAGCTGCAGCACGAGCCAGTGATGGAACCACCCGGACCAGCAGGAGGAGGGAGAGATGGCCTCGCACCGAAATATCTCACTTGGCTCTGAGCACGGCGCGGAACTTCTGGCACGCAGAACCCTGCGGAGCTCCGTGCCAAAGAAAACAGCCAGATTTAAACCCCTGAAGCAGAGTGTTTGTGCAGAGCAGCTGGGCAGAGCATGGTGCTCAGCCCCAGGTGGGCTCGCTGTGTCTCTGGCCCTGTGTGGAGCTCTGTCCCCTAGCGGGGGTGGCTGAGCCAAGGGCAGGTGCTGTCCCCATGGCCATTGGCACAGGTGGCAACGGTGGCACCAGCTGCCTGTCTGTGCTTGCATTCACAGCCCCCCATACAGCAGCACAACCACCCTCTTGGCTTGACCACCTGATGTGGACGAGCTGATTTTCTACCCCTAAAAACAAATTAACAGATATGTAGATGGCTGTGAGCACCAGGCAGCCACTGGCACGGCCAGCCCCGCTCAGAGCCCTGCCAGCCCCGCTTCCCCCAGGCACGCCGTATCTCCAGGCGTCTGTTGTTCCATTAAGCTATTTTTAGCAAATATATCCCCCTTAGTTCAGCTGCCGTTATCTGATTAGTTCCTGTAACTATATGAGGAGCAACATCTCCAGGCGTGACTGCGATTCTGAGCAGGCTGTGTCTCTGCACACGCCTTTCCTACAGGAGAGAAACTTGCTGGAGGTGCCTCTCACCGCGGCCATGGTGCTCTGAGCTCTGCTGCCACCAAAGCTGATTTTGGGTGGCCAAAGGCCATGGGGATCAGCCCTGCTGCAGCCAATGGAGCACACGACCTTTGGTACAGGCAGAATTTTCCAGGCCCGCTTGCCGGCTGCTGCCGCTGATAAGGGGCCATCTCCTCCGGCGTTGCCCTGATGCGGCCTCGATAAGCAGCTGGCTTTGTTTGCTCCTGAGCTGTTGATGGAGATTTCCATCATCATCAGCTGGGGATGGGAGAGGGGAAAATCCTTGTGCAGCAGCAAACCAGCCTGTGAGGGTGTGCCCCAAAGGCACACAGAGGTGCCAGGGCTGGGTACCCCCTTCCTCTGGGCACGTTCCACTGGGAAAAGCTGCACCCTGGCCACAGCACAGGGGCTGGTTAATACCTGCAGCTCCATACGTAGTTCCAGCATTGCACTTTGCTCTGAGGCCTCAGCCTCTATTGACTGCAGCTGTCCCAGAAAATCAGATTAAAATGCAAAACCCTGGCATCCAGTGTGGTCTGCCAGGCAGGTCTTCCATCTCCCAGCTCGATCGTCAGGATTAAGAGCACATGAAGGGAAGTGGGAAGATGAACCTCCACCGTGACAGCTTTTCCTTCATCCTCAGCTGTGTCGGAGGAGTGCTGCAGACACAGAGCTCCTCAGCATTCCCTGGAGCCTGTGACAGCCGTGGCCATGCTCGAAACTCAGGACAGGAGAAGGGGGATCCCACCCAGGAGCCATGCACACAAGCTCCTGGCCCACCTCCCCTGTCCACGGCCAAATCCATGAGAGCCCTGCTGCCTGCCCCTGCTCCTCCCCCGGGGTGCTTCAGAGCCCTTGAAAAGGGATTAACTATAGATTTTAAATGCTCCCAAAGGGAAAAGTCTCGTCCATGGCCACAGTGAAAACGGCCTCTCACAGCTGTCACCTGAGCTCTGGAGCTGCCCCCAGGCTCGCTGGGATGCTGATCCCACTGTCACCTCCCTGTGCCAGTGTTGTCACCTATTCCATCCTCACCGTTTGCCTGCCTGGCTTCTCACGACAGTGATTTACTTCCCAGTCTTGCTCTGCCGTGCTGTTGAAGCCCCCGTTCCCAGCCAGGCCGAGGTTGTGCTACTGGAATCTGTCACACAGCTGAAGACGTTTATTCCAGCCGAGAGACCCGCCAGCGCCTCAGGTGACATTTGTGAGCAGAGAGAGATGCCAAGTGTTGCTCGTTGAAACTAGTTGCTGAGACGGACCGGGGGGAACCTGGGCTCCCGTCCCCATGCCCCGCAGCCCACGCCGTGTCCCCGCGGTGGCCTCGACCTTGCTCCACGACCCCCTCACACCACATTCCTCGAGGGATGCTGCCAGCAGCGGAGGGTCCGTGTCTGCCTCGCGTCGGCCCCCCCTGCGCTGTAGCAAACCCGCGGAGGGGACCCGCTACGGGACGGACCCCAGACCTCGCTGGGGGGCCGCACCAGGGATGGAGCGTGCGGGGGCGGCGTGGGGGGCCCCGCGCTGGTCCTCGGCGTGCGGGCACCCCATGGGTGGGTGTGACCCCCCCATTCGCGGCTCCCTTCGCTCCCGCAGACCCCGCGCACCCCAATCCCAGCCCCTCGGTTCCTCCCCAGCCCCCCC